CCCCTCCCCCTCCCCCCTCGCGCGCTCCCGGGGGAAGCGAGGCGGCGCGGCCGGAGCGAAAAAGCCCCGGGGAGGGGCCGCGGGTGTGGATGCCGGAGCTCGTGAGGGCGGGTTTGGGCCTCCCCCCGCCCACTGACGCCGCGGCGGGGTCGAGCTTGCGTCGACATCGCTGATGGCTGCCGCAGAGCCGCCGGGTGTACAACGTCGTCAACTTATCCCGCAGCGCGCTCATGTAATTTTCCTTGATGCCGGCCAGCCGGTCGCGATTAATGGACTCGCGGATCTTCTCCTTCTCGAGCAATAACGTCTTGGTCTGCTCCAGGCGACGGGCATCGAGTTTCTCGAAATGCGCTTCCCGTTCGTTCCACTCCATCTCCTCAAGCTCACGAAGCTTCGCGTAGTTCGCCTCCAGGGAGGCAGGATCTTTGGACGTGTGCTGCAGAGACCTCTCCACCTCACGGCGGCGACGCAAGCGCAGAATAAGATCCACCTCCTCTTGCCCAGCAGGAAGCCCTTTGTTTTGCCAGGTCAATCCTTGCAGTTGTAAGATCTCAGGATCGCTTGAGGCGCCGTCCGGGATGTAATAATCGGGGGAATACGGGTCTGTCTGCGCGTCATTCTCACGGTACATGGTTTGGACCGCCACCTCACGAGTGCTAGCCGCCGCCGCTTCGATATCCGCCTGTGTATAACCCTGAGCGGCATCCCGGAGGCTCTCCCGCGCCCCCCCCGTCCCGTTTTTAATACTAGGAAGGTGAAAAGGCCGACCGCGGCGCTTCGAACCCCCACTGCGCGCGCCGCAGCTATGGAACGGGTGCGATGACGGGTTCATCTTCGCGGACCTCGCCCGTCGGCCGGTGTGCGTACTACGGTAGCCATGGGCGGTACTGCTCGCCAAGTGCATGTCCACGTGAGATGGCGGTGCGGAGGGCAACGTCGAGGAAAATTGATTCGGGAGGTCATCCCAACGAATCGACGGATCGTCTCTAGGGCTGATGGCGGTATGGATATACCCGCCTTCCGCTCCCTCACCAGGGAACACATTCCGTTCCGTCTCGACAGGTCGTCGGAAGAATTTAAAGCGGTCACGACCAGCAAGCTCAGTGGTGTAACCGACACATCCCCGAACCTGGCTTTGCCGTGTGCGCATCACCCCTTCTTGAATAATGTAATTGGTAAAATCACAATTAAAATAGCTTTTTTTTCTTTTCCTGCTCTTCCTCCTGAAATAAATATAAAAATAGGAAAAAATTATGCATTTTATGAACGACATCATCGAAAATAATATTACCCCAAAGAGGAAGAATCATGTTTTTTTTGTGTGTTTTGCACACCCTTCCCCACTTCCACACGACACCATTCCTAAATGGAAAAAGGCGCACATCACCCTGTCAGACCCTAACATGTTCGCCAACTACTCCTTGTCGTCTTTTCACCCTACGCATGGGATATCCTCAATTCTACTTTTCGCATTCTTACACCCCCATCTGCCTCATATCACGACTCGGAAGCTCCCATGCGAAATATCGAGCGCTTTGCAAACCTGTTGACTCCAGTAAAAAAAGGTCTAAACTCCAAAAAGACGGCTAAGACTATCGTAAAGCGGATTACCTCAATCATTTCGTTGACAACAAACCCAAAGCCCACATTAACGTAGGTGTCCCACGCTTCGATGCGTTCATAAAACTGGTCTCGAGAGGAGGATACCCCCAATAAGATAATCAGAAAGTCGAAGGCCGCTTCTTTTTTCAAAAATCCGGAAGCAAAGCCGAGGTAAAGAGCGAACCACGTACCGAAGTACGCCGCCACATACAATACAAAAAAGGGCCATCCTTGACGTTTGAAAAAATTATAGGTTTTTCGAAATTGCCGACTTTTGTCCTCTTGTAAACGGTCCAGCTCCTGCTGAAACGCGCGCTGACTCGCCTCCTGAATTTGCTTAATTTGGGTTTTGCGGTTGGCGGAAATTTCCTGCCGCTTCTCCCAGCGCGTTGTCGGGATGGATGGTGCTCGGTGAACCTTATCGTCGACCTCTTGGATGTACTCCTTGGTACTCTTGGTAACCCATTTCGTGGTGAGCTGCCGCTTCTTTTTGTTTATTCCCGATAACGTTTCGCTGGAATGGACGTACTGCACGCCCCGCGTGGTGGTATAAAGAAATGAGGAGGCGCTCAAACATGGATGACCTGGCAGGTGGGGCTTGGAGAGGAATGCACGACTGATCCCCAAGGACGACAATCGTACCAAGGATGGTGATCGACCACCTAACCCCCCACCGCTTAAGGAATAAAACCGCTTCTGCATGAGGGGGAGGCTTCGAAATATAGATAGGGATAAATACCGCTTACCGGATTTTCCTCTATGGAGATATATTCTTCGATATTGGAGTGGGATATATGTAAAAGATCGCGTCACGAATATTTTATCCACTGTCATGCAATAATTTGACCTATTTTAGTCAATCATGGGGATTTTTATAGCTTTTTTGAAAAATTCATATAATAGAGAGAGATTCGCTGCAAAAATAGCTGTTTATATTATTGACACCGAAGTTAGATTCAGGAAAATCTGCAGATTATCGAATTGTTGAAGGTAGACTCTCGCCCATAGACCGTAGCTCTGCTAGTTGTGCCGCAACATCATCAAACGCCTCCGACAAAGGCAGACCATCCTCGGAGTTCTGTTCAGGAGGGTTCAAAGAAAAGGAAGAGGCTACTTCGTGAAGATTCGTCAAATTCCCTTTTAAAGGGCGAAACTCATCATCGCTCACAGTTGCATTTCTATCACACGTTCTATCAATCCCCTCCGTACTCGCACTGGATTCCTCATTGGATGTCAAAGGGGTATGTTGGGTTGGGTCCTGCTCTTGGAAGAAGTATTGAGCAAGTTCTTCCTCGCTGTCCGCCAGAACATCCAGGTTCCCCTCAGAATCGGTATCGTCCGGTTCAAAGATATTTTCATCCTCGTAGCTATCGGTATCGTCGTCAGAAAACGCCAAGTTCACAAAGGGCAATGTGGATAGTTCTGTGAATAAATCACCCCTATTGTCAGCGCTCATGGGTGCTTCGCTTTCAAGCACCTCGGTAATGGGCGCCGGGACGTCCGGCTCACCGTCTAACCCATCCAAAACCGCCTCACCACCGCTAAATTCAATCTCGCCATCAACAAATGAATAATCGGGCGAAATGGGCGTTGACTTTAGCCCTTTATAGACCTCCCGCACATCGTATTGGGAGAGCACCGAGGCAGAATTGGGATCCACCGAGGCGGCCCTCCCACCCGCATCCCTCGACGCCACGGAATCGAGGGCCGCGCCGTAAAACGCCGCCTCGTGCTCGGCGGACTCGACATCCCACATCCCCGATTCTAAATGGTGTGGCCGACGTCCCTTTGAGGAATCATCCGTGCAGTTGAGGATGTCCGAGTCCTCGTGTAAAGCCTCGGCCCCGTCTTTTTCACCCTTGAACAAATCCTCTACGGGCACCCGGGCGGGGGATGTCAATGCGAATGAGGACCTTGCTTTTTCGGCATCCGCCCCCGATTTTTTCTGTCGGCTGGGATGGTGTTTACCTGGGCTAGTCGTATGGTGCATGCCGGCTAAAAGATCATCCACACGGCAGGTGAATCCTTTTGAAGATTGCGGGGGTTGGGGTGGCGTGTAATGTCGACGACAATTGACAAAAAAAATGGGTAGAACCTCTCGACAAGTCATCAGCTCCACGCCTAGGGTGCGCATAAAAGCTTTTCGTACGGGTTTGCTCGTCTTATAACAAGGCGTTATCCATAACAAGAGATGGGTTGAAACGCAGGAAATGTGGCGCATTTTTTTGTGTGAGTGGGGTTGGTTAAAATACGATAAAAAGAAAAAAAACTCTGTCAAGGCTAATGATCCTATAATTGGACAGCGCGCTAAGATCGGGGGGATAGCATCCTTTATTCCTACAAGGAATTGAAACTACGAAAAATGCGCTAAATACTTTTCTATTATTACCAAAATGCAGCTATATAGAAAATGATGCAAATCGATACACATCTAAAAGAAGAAATCGAGATGTGGAGCCAGTTTTTGATACCTTATTCAAGAGAAAATATACACACAAAAAGTGACATTTTTTGCTCATTTTTCATTATATTTTAGTATATTATTATTATTACCTTTGACCTTTATTAATAGATTTATTTGTGAAAGTATGGATTATGACCCAGTAGACACTATTAATAAACAAAGTAGGATCAGCATCGTACTGATTCAAAGCACCTTTATAACCTACTCGTGCTTTTCTTTTTAAACCTGTGCGTATACATCCCCTTCAGCTTTAGGAAGTTGGGAATACTATCAGGTGTTATTGTTGTTTGGAGCCCTCCTCAATTTTTTGTTTTTTTGATTCGGGTACGGCACCATCACTCTCAGGGATTACCTTTGTTGTCTCTTTTGAGCCTTCCATGAGATCCTCGCTAATTTTTGCCGCTTCCTCGGAATCACAACGCATATACCCAAGGATCGAGCACTCTATCTTCGCTCTAGAGGGATTCTGTTTATTACTGCCTCGGACATCTATTCGGACACGGACTCTGTCCAGTAGCTCAGGAACCTTCAGAAGACTCTCCTTCAAGATGCGGCTCTCTTGGCCGAACTTAGGCACCAGCACCGATATGTAGGCATCCGAAAAACGCACCACATAGGCATCTTCCTCGATCGCGGCGCCGCGAGACTCGATGGTCTGGAGGTAAAAGCCCGTGTATAAATTCTGCGAATCCCGTCCGGCTCGCTGGGCCTGTTCATGGCGATAATTCATTTCGTCCGCCAAAGCCTGCACATGGCGTGTGTTCATAATGGTCGCATTGACCTCGCCGATGCCGATCGCCGCGGCGAGCTGACGGTGCACAATCACATCGGCATAACGCCGAATTGGTGATGTGAAGTGAGTGTACATCCCCATCGCAAGGCCAAAGTGGTAATACTCATCTTTGGGGATCTCTCCACTGGAGGAGTACTGCGCCTGACGAAGGCACCGGGTCGCAAGGATGCGAATGAGCTTGTTGAAGTAGGTATCCGACGAACTCACACAGGCATTCAAAGAACGGCTGAGAGATAAGGAAGAGGTATCATCTAGACGCATCTGCAGTTTTTTCATAAGAACCTCATTAAGAGCATCAAATGCCCCTTCGCCTGGTCGCTGATGCCGCCGCACCAAAGTCCAGTTAGGAAAGTGCTCGTAAATCTTACTCGCTACAGCCACATTCGCGTACAACATCCACTCCTCCACCATTGAATTGGCCTCAAATGTCTCATACTCTTGCATATCCGTCCGATCAACGTGGTTCATGTCAACCTTAAATTTAAACTCCTGTGAAGCCAAGAAAAGGGCACCGTCCTTTTCACGCTGAGCCCGAAAGTGTCTGGCGAGCGTCATCAGGCGACGCAATGATTGCGCTAATCCAGAGTGGTCCTTCACGTCATCAATCATGCGTTGAGCATCACCGTAGTAGAACGCACGACGAGATCGAATGATGGTCTTGCCGAACCAACTCTGGACAAGATTATAATTCTCATCAAATTCCCACAATGCAGAAAATGCGTAGCGGTCCTCCCCCTCCACTAGAGAACAGAGATTCTCTGTGAGCAATTGCGGCAACATATTAATGCGGCGATCGACCAAATAGACGCTCGTACTGCGTTTAGCAGCTTCCTCATCAATGGGAGTTTGCTCCCGCACGAAGTGGGTGACATCCGCGATGTGAACCCCAACCTCCCAGTGGTTTTGATTGACCACTCGGCAATGCAGGGCATCATCGATATCGCGGCAGCCCAACGGATCCACACTGACGATCTCCAAATCGCGTAGATCCAGCCGCACCGCCTCTTCCTCCGACGTCACCGACCATTGCCCTTTAGGCAGGCAATCGTAAACAGCCTGACTGAAGTCGTAATGCGGGATATCGTTCTCCATAAGAATCACCTTCGCCTCGGTGTCGGGATCGCCGATCTTACCCAGCACCTCGACGTAATGCCCGAGTGGAAAGCTGCAGTTTACCGGCCAGTCATCAATCACCACACTAAGTCGCTTATCCTTGAGGTCGTTTGCGTGTCGGGTGGTGATCCGAATACGTGGAATGCGGTTATCCTTAGCGCGAAAAAGCAACGACACCATCCCAGAAGAGCCGGCCGAAAGTTGATTCACCTCCTCCACGTCCAGACTTCCGCAGAAAGGGCGACGGGACATCCGCTCAATCCCCACCACCTCGCCCGTGGCGGTAAAGCCTAACGCCAAGGCCGCTTCTTCCGTCATCGGGGCGGCGTCGGCATTCGTATTCCCCGCCTCCTGTTCAGAGGACGGGGCCACAAGGGGTGAAGAGGTGGCATTGGGCCCTGTGTTTGCATTAATGGTATTGGGGTTGGGACCTCTAGTGCGACCTCGCCATTGCGGGATCGGCAAAAGCTTAACAATCACCACATCATCATGAATGGCGCGATTTAGATTCGAGCGGCCTGGGATAATAATACGATCAAAGCCATGTCCTTCGAATTTGGAGCGTATTTCGCCAAAAAAGCAGCTAGAATCACTAACACGTAGTTTGCCACGGAAGAAATACCCCATCTGCACCCCGGATTCAAGCGCAGAGGAAGGAAGATAGGGGGTGAAGAGGTTGGCCCCGCTGTTGGAAGGCGAATGGCCGGTTAAGGATGTCTCACTTATCTTTACTTTTTCGGCAAGATCGGAATCGGTGCTAATAAAAGTCTCCACGTACTCACGCATCCCTAAACAATGAAAGTTCGGCAACATCTCAACCGAGCCTTCGGAATCCAACCGCTGCATTTGCGCATTGTTGTGAGTGGCGAAGATCACAGGCAAGGCCTCACTCAGGGCCGGAAAGGCCTTTAATACGTGTCGACTATACCACAAAGAGGCCACCCTTATACATCGATCATTGTACTGATGTGGGGTTTCATCTTTTAATGGAAGACAGTGGGTTTGCTCATGGCGGTCATTCGCAAAGACGTAGATTGGCTTGGTGGATCCCGATTTCAATAAGCTCTGCAGACGCATGTAAATAGCTTTGTTGCGGGAATGAACCTCGGCCAAGACTGTACTCAGGAAAACAATATTCGCAACCCGAGAATCCTCAAAAGCGTTGACATTTTGTAGTACAACGTCGGTATCCGGAATTAGTAAAGGAAGCGTTGGAAGAAGCGAAGGCGGCGTAGACTCCTTTGGGAATTCCTTTGGGCATAGAGGGCACTCCACCAAGCCGCAATGGATGTCATTGCGAGTGAGGATGGTGTTTTTTAAATTGGTACTACCGTGCACTCCCTGTGGTCGAGCACGATGCACAGGTCTTGGCTTCTTGGTGAACATATTGTAAGTAATCGTAAGATAAGTCAAAAGCTAGCCGATAAACAAATTTGTGGATCCAAAAGGTATCTTACTATCTTCCTGTACACCTTGAAGCAAAAAAGGAAACAAGAGCATAAATAATGATAAAAAGTGTTTCAGAAGTATTCATGGATTATTCAAAAATATTGAGAATATTTTTACTGAGAATTTCTGTCGATTGTTTTTTCCGCAACAGTTCAAAAGAGGTTTTGGAAAGACAAATGAAAACGTCATTCCACAGGGGTGGCAAAATAGCCAGGTTGCCACTGGCCTGTGAACGGAGGAATAATCCAAAATTTACTCGTAGAAGGGACAAGCAGCAAGAAGGCGAAGTAGATGAACACATAAAACAAACAGTTAAAGATGAAGAGCCTAAATGACATCCTAACGTACCAAGCGATGACATTGCTCTGAGATTGATGGAGTGAAAAAAAATACCACAGCGCAGCCCACATCCATGGCATAAAGCAGAACCCAATTCGGAAGTACCACTTGCAGACACGCTCTGCTTTATCGATTGTCAGTTGCTCCGTGGCTAACATCAAATGAGTTTGATTAATGAATATGCGAAGTAAATAATAATGAAAAAGCTTCGTCACACCTATGAAAAGCAAGGAAAACAGTTTAGTATTTTGTGCAAATTCAAGATGTATACATATGATTTTTTATCAGTTTGATCAATTTCATTCACCTTTAGATGATAGCGTATTTTGGCTACTGTTTTATCAGTAATCAGCTTCCCTAGGAGAAAAAGGGAAAGACATTCCAATATATTTTGGAGGTTTAAGTAGAAACTTATGTAACGTCTTCAAATATACAGATCAGAAGCTATACATATATAATTTTTTTTTAGGTAATGTAAAAATGCATCCATACCTATACAGTTATAAGATAGAAAATGTAAAACAAAACACTTCTGATTACATACATCCTACTTCGATACTATACAATTCGTTTCAATAGTTCGGAATGAGAACGACATGTCAGAAAATTATTTTTTGGTGTGAAAAATAGACCAAATTTGATCGCGTTGTAATTGAGCTGCTTGTTGCGGCTTAGGAAGCAAGGGTGGTAACCTCGGTATCTCTAGGCGAAGATAATCCTCATTCTCAGCGGGATTCAATAATTTTTCTTTCAAACTTCGCTCCGCCTCCTGTTGTTTCTGTAATTCCAGTTTGAGCGCCGCCTCCCTTTCGATTCGTGCGGCTCGCATCTGCTTTGCTTTGAGGATGGTAGAATAAATAGGAACCTCTGTCGTTTGCGCAGAAATCGGCAACGTCGGCTCCGGTTTCAAAGGGTGCAAGGCCGATCCCTTCACCGCCGCCCCAGACCCACTGTCCGGCGAAGGCGGGGCGTCGGCGTGGGGGTCGTGCATGACTGCAGTCGTGCTCATCTCCCTCGGGTGAAGGGAGGCGTCGCATTCGGGGCCCGGGCCCGCCTCCTGGGACGGGTAAAGCGGGCGAATCCAAAGCAACGGCTCCTCCTCCACCGGCGGGGGGTAAATCCCTTCGTCCAGGCTGTAAAGGTAGGGGCTTTCGCACCAGTAGGCCATCCGAGCCCCGGCAGGGGGGCCGTTATGGGAGAGGAAAGTCTGGAAAGGGGTGAAGAGCGGAACCGGGGCGGCGATGGGGCAGGGCGCAGGGCCCGGGCCTTCGTAAAGCACCAGGCGCGAGGCGGGGCTCCTCGGGGAGGTCGCGAAGACAGGGGATGACAGGGGGGGGGCCGCGTCGAACATTGAACCGGGTGAATCGGCTTCGCCCTGGGTGTTCGGGGAGGACGGGCAGGGGCTCGCAAGGGGGGGGCGTAGGGGATAGCCATCCATATAGTAATAGACCCCAGGCCCCGCCGGTGGTGGAAAGCCGGGATACACAATCCGCGTCATCGGCATGGGTTCTGGATTGGGGCTAGGGTGGCCTTCCATTGACGGGTCGTTGATTGTGTTGGCTTCTGCCGAAGCAGTCGCCTTTCGCATTAGAGGTTCGAAACAAGCATGCAATTCCTCATTGTGGTAATAATGCAGCGGATGCATCCCTTCCTTGACCGGTCTGCCTAATTGGACACCGGTGTAATACTCGTAATCGCCACTGAAGGCTGCACTCACTTCGCCCCGAGTATAGGTCTTTCGGGGGTTATTATCATTGTTGAAAAATGAAATTGGAATACGTTCATCATTGAAATAAATGCAGTTCCCATCGGCGTCTAAACCTGCCGAGCCATCTACAATTGAGTAATAGGTCTCTTTCTTCTGAGAGTGTTTTGCTAAATTACGAGTGACGCCTCGCGCAACCTTAGGTGCGAGTATTTGAAAGCTAGGTTTAATCCCAACTTCATGAAGACTCAAGTAAAGCAAGCGTAACAAATCGATTATACGCGCCGTGTCCTTTGTTAGTTGATGCTTAAGTCCATAGCACATTGCCTTGTACAGTTTAATTTTATCCGCATCTTCCTCCGCTTTAATCATTGATTCAAAACGAGAAAGACAAACCCGATTTGCTGCACGACGAAGGCGCAAGGATACAAGCTCTTTCAAAAGGTCTTTGCCAGTCATGCCTCCTGTATTTTCTAACTTTGTTTTATTCCATAACTCATGTTTCTCCTTTGCGGTTGGCTCAGCTCCTGATTCCGAAACAGTCATAGGTCTATTGGAGTTTGCAATAGCATTGAGTTTCTCTGCAGATAAAAGTACATTTTGCAATAATAGATTCTTCAAGTGTCGCTGTAATTTAGTAGATCGTTTAGAAAACCCCCTTAACAGTGACTCTGCTTCTTTGATAATTGAATTATTTACATAGAAATGAATGCCCCAGAGAAAACTGTAATCTAAATTAGGAGGCTCGTCAACTTTACTCTGAAGTTCTCTAAGTTTTAGAGAGTATTTTGCCTCCGTAGGCTGCTTAAGAAGATCCGTTAAGTGGTGAACCTTACCCGGGGGAATTTTGAAAAAGTCGTAACAACGCTTGCACTCAATACTCTTGCTTATGTTTTCTAAATATAATGAAACATCGTGCATAAACGAAGTAAAACAATCTGCGAGTGCATTAGAGCGAGATTGCTGCAATAAAAATACTTGAAACACTAAAGACATCTGATTTTCGTATTGTTGTTGGAGACGACTGATATCATTCCGAAGTTGCTCTAAGATTTCGAAAAATTGCCCTTTGATTAAATCAATCGCCATATGCAGATTTCTTTGATACGCTAAAACTGCATTATGCTGGCTTTTCAATTGATTTTGCAAGAGTTTCGTCGTTTCTGAGCTAAAGCCAAAAGAATTATCTGAAATGGTACCCAGATGTAAATTTATGTAATAATATTTAGCTTTTTCTTTTTCACTCAATAATTTTCCTATTCGCTCTTCGAACAGGTAATGGGATTTGTTTAAAAGGCCAACGTATTCCTCATAATCAAAAATTGCATCAACAGGTTCCTCAGTTTTAGAAATATGCTCGAGTAATTGCCCTAGATCTGATATTTTAAAATGATTAGAAGAAATGCGTTCACTGATCGTATGAGATGGATCGTCAGTTCCCCCTAAATCCAATGTTTCCGTTTTGGATTTTCTACTCGAAGAGCAAGCGAAGTCGTTTTCGTGTGTGTATCGTGGTGTGTTATGCCGAAGTGGGGAACACTCATCCAATACAGTTTGCTGATCCTGAATGGTAACTTGAGTTGATCGGTGTAAAGATTCAGAGTTGCGAATTGGTCTACTTGTATTGAGCGAAATTAGATCATTGGCTAGGATTGAACTATTTGAATTGGAAGTCAAATTTGGAAACGGAATTTTAGGTTGCTGGTCTATTTTTTCACTCTCAGAAGTTAAATCGGGGACCAAAGTAGACTCCTTTGAATGAAATACCATACTTTTCCGTGAGCTGCTACGTAAATCCCCAGTTGAAGGCAACAAAGTTTTTCCTGAAACGTTCGAGAATTTAAAGAGATCATCCCTATGATTTTTTTTTTTCAAGTAGTCAATACGACGCCGTAATATGAGCACTTCACGAAAGTAGCTATGAAGCATATAATAATGTGATGATTTGATATCATCAAGTAGCAACTTCAGGTCATCCTGATACGATTCGTAATATTTGATAAGACCTTCCATATTTTGTAAGCGTTCCTCCAAATCAGTACACTTTTTTTCTGTGGCCAAAAAGTCTGCCCGTGGGATGTCTATGGTAAGACATGTGTTCACGATTTCATTGACCAGACTATTGCAAATCTGAAACGTGCTTTCTTTCTGATGTTCAGGGATATTAAATACTTCCTTATAAGATTTTTGTATTAACGCATCAAGATAACGCTTTACATCATCACGAACTTGTGGATGTACTTTTTGAAGCTTCAACAGTTGGTTGATATCTCGGGCAGTTGCCTCAACTAAATGTGAAAAAATACCCATTACGAAACCCTATATACTCCCAGCATGTATTTTAAAAAATAGAAAGAAGAACAAAGAGAATACTAAATCCAAATGTATATATTTTTAGATATAAATAAGCATATGGCAGAGGAATCAATAGATTATTTTCTTGATGTTACTATTCAACTAAAATAAAAATATTATAATCATGTAATTTATGAAACTCACATATGTTTGAAAAATGTGAACATAAAACAGAAAATTAAAACAATACAAATAATTACAAAGATGCAAGATTATTTTTTTGCCATAGCTCCAATCCCTTTTGAAAAGTTCCAGGAACAAGACCCTGCGGGCAATAATAACACGTTACTCCAAGTTTAGATACGGTGCTGACATTATTTCTCTGGTTATCAAAAAATAACATTTGAGAAAAATCATTTACACTTTTATCAATTTGACGTACCTTCATGAGAATCCTTTTATGTTGGTCATCCTTTCCGGCGTAATAGATTTCCCTTCGATCAGAAAATAAAGATACCATAGGCATCATTTTCCCCTTGGTGTCTTTGAATTTATACAGGTCAAGCAGGCTTTCCGCCCACTCCGGCATATCACACGTTGAGGAAATCGCAAGGTATGTATCCTTCCATTTGGGGTTCACAATAAGATCTTGAAGAACATTTCGAGTTTCTCCGATAAGAGAAACCTTTGTATTTATTCGATCAATCGCAACATCAGGATTTTTTTCGTCTGGGCGAAATGGTGCACCACCGCTTAGCTGATACATTTCAGGATCCCAAAGCGTTCCGTCAAGATCGAAAACAATAACACGGGGCCGATCACCGGTATCACAAGAATTCTTTGACATTAGCTATCTATATCCTATATATAATTACCTATTGTTGATGAAAAGAATGAATTAAAGCCGTACAGAGATCATTTTTTACATGTCGGAGTATTTCGTAAAGAAACGCAATAGGTTAATATTGGCAAAAAAATACTAATAATACCATTCAATATAAGTGATAGGATCAAGGTACCATCATGTTACTACAAAACATAAATAAAAAAAAATGGCATCCTTGAGTTTGTGCTTGTGTAAATCAGAAAAAGGTTTGAAGTAGGTGTAGAGCACGAAAACTTCCATTTAGTAAACTATCAGTATTTTTATTATTTTTTGTTTGTTTGGTCATACATCCCATGCTTGTTGGAATTGACATGTTTAGAGTAAGACTGCCGATGAAGCCTTACTTAAGAAAATAATTCGTATAAATATCAATGAAACAGAAATGATAAGAATGGTGAAAAGCGAAACATTAAAACACAAAAGTAAGTCAAACTTAGAGGACAAATAGGAAAAAAAAAGAAGACACAGAGTTGATTTAAGTTCTTCACCGAACATACCCCCGGCGAATCGTCAAGAAAAAGGATTGAAAAGGCATCCATTTCCAACACAGAATCCATACCCCCACAGAGGTTCGATAGACATAACTTTTGAAAAAAAATTAAAAAATATATAAGTAGAAATCGAACAATAATAATACAGCAAAATAAAACACGAAGAATATTTAAAAATCACAAAGACGCTACTAAAACGCGCACCCGCATAGCATCAATAAATCTCTTCAGTGCCGCTTTACAAATGGTATTTTGAAATAAATCGAAACACGCAGGGATATAATAAGCAGATTAAAAAAAAAATGGGAGGTGTGGCGCAGCCCCCGGGGCAGGGGGGCCTAGTTTTACACAGCCACATTCACCCTACGAAATTATTCCAATACTAGAAACTATTATAGGAAAGCATGTCTCTGTTCGAAAATAAAATAAACCCGTGAAAAGGATTACAAACGATTTCCAAGAACGAATCCCCAATGACAGACACATCAAGCGGAAGTTATCAACAAATAAGCAAAAACTATTCAGGTAGAAACACTGGTTTGGTTCCCACCTGAGGTTGGCTTCGGTGTCTGCGGGCTCTGGCACCACGGGGTCGGGCCGCCATACCCTAGCATGAAGATCAAGAATTAAACCGCTCCAGCGGAGGAGAAGTCCTCCATAGCGAAATATTTGTATTCTTTTTTGTTGTTCTATAGTTTTGGGGTGGCTTGTCCTTTCCCTGAATCATAAAACCCAGGGGGAAGCATTTCTTTACATTATTAATGTCTGGCAAGGCAAAGTTTTCAAGTAAATGCCTTTAACACCGGGTGTATTTTATTACAATTAAACAGGTATATGTATATAAATATGAATGCAGTTCCTTCTTTCCACTCCCTTGAAAAGTGAAATGGCCTTTTGTATTGACCTATATTTGATGAACTCAATTTTTACGCGTATAATGCCAGGAAGTACGAACGATTAAGCGGAGAAACCCGCTATGTTTGTTCACCGTTCACCTTAATTTTCCCTATCATATGGATTCAATTAAATTATTCCACACGATTGCCGCTTTTCTATTAAACATAATTCCAAAATCGAAGGAACCCATCCGGAGAAGCCGTTACCACCAGACGGGCGTCATGCTGTATCTTAATGCCGCGCGACAACCCGACCCAGCCCTGTGGATATCCACCAAGGACGGTGTTAAGCTTTCGAATGTCCCACAAGTACAAGTTCTCGCCTACACATGCGGCGAGGTGGACGTTCTGGACATCAAGACCGGTCACGTAGTTCCGAAGCTTGAGGGTGTACAGCGTCTCAATATTCACGGACGACGTTGAGCCCCCTGGGACTCGCAGATCCCATGAGAGAATCGTACTGTCAAAGCCCCCAGTGAAGAACTGATGATTATCACGCACCGTCAGCGCGGGGATCTTCCTGGTGTGCTTTTGGAAGGATCCCAGCGACCTCACGGCCGAGACGTCGATGATGCTGACCGATCCATCCCCCCCCCCTACCAGCGCGGTTGCACTGAACGGCAAGCAGTCGACGGTCTGCGCGTTGAGCGGGATCTCCACCGTCTCCAGCCGCTCTGATTCCCTGGGTTTCACTTTTGGCCGAATCACAAGGTGGTTGTGCAGGCCCCCGATCACAAAAGGCGGGTCCGGTTGGTTCTTCAGGTAACTGACACAATAAACGTCCGCCCCGAGCGAAGTCGCGGACAAAGGCCGCAGGACCGGCCCCTGAGTCCCTGTGTCAACCTTCCGATCAAGCCGCCAGGCCACCGCCGTGCCGTCTTCGCAGCCCGTGATAAAGGTGTACTTCCCATGGAAGCTGAGGTCCCAGATCGAGGTGGGGTGGACGTGGGTCTGTAACAGGGAGTTCCCAAGCGTGTCGAGGAAGTACACATTGCCGTAGGAGGACCCCACGGCAACCCGTGAGGAGGCCCCAGCGGCGCGGACGCAGAGGAATTTATCCCCCGGGACCCCACGCACGGTGTTCACCAGAACAATACTCCCGGTCACGTCAATAACAGGTTCGTGCGAGGGCGAGTGGAGGACCTCGCGAGGGGCGATGTCCACGATGTCGACCGCGGCACTGATGGCCACACGGCGCTTAGGGGGGGTCTGCGTGACCGCCATTGAGGCCCCCAAAATGGAGGGATGGGTGAGGGACAGGGAGAGGGTGTCCGAGGTGACGAAACGGCTCTTCGTCACGGTCGTGCACAGTGAATCATACATAATGGCCGACCCTTTGAAGCTCGACACCAGCTTGATCACGACGGCGTCGTGGATTAAACTTTTGGGGAAGTGGATGTGCGGGTTCAAGCTAATAATGATTTTCGCATTAGGGTTAAATCCCTCTAGGTTGTGAGAATGTGCTTCCTTAAGCAGGCTTTCCAGAACGCTACAGAGGTTAATCGATTTGTGGGCATTAGCGAAGAGGAACCAGGAGCCGGTGCGCATGGCTTTCACAAATTGTTTGGTAAATGCAGCTGGGTTAGGTCGCTGTTGAAGCTTCACGCCGGCGTCAATCACGATCAAAGGTCGTTTGGAAGTCATGGCGAGAATTTCTAGCTCTGCAGTTGGGTTGAGGTTTCTCACAATGCAAATGATGCACCGGCCGAGTTTGGCTTTGGACAACGCCTTATTGAAGCACTGCCGCGCCGAGATCTCATTAATTTCTTTCAGCGCATTCTCAAGTGCTAACTTCGTGTCCTCACTGCGGATGCTTTCCTTTAGTTTCTCAAACTCGAGAAAACGGGGTGTGTTTCCCGAGATGGTCTTGTTTAAATCCTCAGTGTCATGATGACCTAAGCAAATCGTATTGAAGGTGGATAATAGCGAGTCAGAACTTTTGGTGCCCAACGAAGACACGGAGGAATTCTGACTGGCGTGAAGTATTGAGCCATTCGATTTATCCCCCCCGTCCACAGCTAAAGACGCATGAGTCTTTGACGACTTTCTCATGTTGGTTGTTACAAACTCAGAATTATTTGTCTTCATTAACCGTGCCATTTCTTTTTTATTGGGCTCCGCGAGCCTACTGGCCTCCCCGTTGAACAAAACACTATTTTCGATGGGTATCCTGGCACTGTGGATATCGCTTCGCTCAAGTACAATTTTCACAGGAGAATTACTGGGTGTCTCTTGGAAGAGCACCGCCTTCAGCTCTCCGCTATCCAAGGTAGGACTGTCATTCACGGAAACAATGCGGTAGCCTGGTTTGACAACTTTGGTAAGTTCACTTTTGGTGTCAGGCAAGATCCCTGATATGTTGCAATCAGGATCAATGGTAAAACAGTTTAGTATTGAGTCCACAGTAGCAAGTACAGAAATTTGTTCGTTGTCGGCTGCTGGCATTATAAGTATGGAATGTATGTTCACGTGATATTTTATTTCGATATTCACAACTTGAACACCGGGAAGAGTTCAGCTAAAGAGAATTCAATTTAACTCGATACAATACACTTTCGAGAAGCCTTATAATAGACTTCCCTACAATTTTGACTATATATCGAGTGTGCGCAATTTGTTTAATAACCTTCCACACACCTTTAACTGTCTGAAAGGAGTAATATAAAATAGTTTATAGCGTTAATATAATGATATATTGTGAAATAAAAAGGAAGAGTATGAACTCACCTCAAGTTAAATATGCATATATATATAATATAATAATAGGAAAGAGCTCACTTTATAGTAAGAAAAATGAATGTAAACTACGAAACTAGATGAAAATCACAAAAATAAGCTTATTGAGATCGATGATAATGAAAATAATAATAAATAAAGAGGGAGGGAAAATGATCCATTTTATCAGTTTGACATAAGTAGTCAATAAAATAAACATAAATACATATATAATTTTATAAACAGGAAGGAAAGATTCATAAGAATTCTGAAGAAAACCCCTCTGAATGCATGAAGCACCAGAAGCACCCCTAAAAATAGAAGAGGGATTCCGACAACATGACAAAAAAAAAGAGATCTTATGTAGAATCTATACTCAGATGACGAATGGAAATATTAAAGAAAAATGTGTGTACAAATGGAATCTAATAATAATAATAAAGATTTCATCTAATTCTAAAAAAAAAGTGCTTCATCTGCAGATTCACTATACCTAGAGAAACCGCACTTGGAACCCTTTCTAATTATTTTCCACCACGCCGAGTACGACTACGGCGCTCCATTGACGGAGATGTTGAGTTCGAGCACACTGTGTACAAGGCGCGCTCCACCACTACGCGAGAAGACGCCGCCCGGTGATCTGACCGCCGGCGAGCTGCAATCCCAACTACCGGCGGTTCACTTCTCCCCTCCACTACACGATTTCCCTCTTCTTCTACCGAATTGAACGCAAGGTCAGGTCGCGAGGCCCCATCGCCCTTTAACTCCACCGCACTGTTGCGGTGCCGGTGTATGGGCAAGTGGTAGAGCAGCTGCCCACTACCACCACGCCCGTCGTCCTCTTTGTTGCTTTTTCCCTTCACGCTAGACCGATGCACCCCCCACTCTCTTTCTTTCCTCTGGTATAGCTCAAACAAGGTCAGCTCCGGCTCCTCGCCTTTACCAGCTTTCCGTCGCTGTCCTTTATTTTCGCTGTGCGAAAGCGGTAGGGTAGAGGAAGGGGTAATGCTGGAGCTGCTGTTGGGCGTGTGCGAGACTCCACCACGACGCCCCCCCTTCCCGACGTGGGGTTTCGCCCGATCCCGAACAAGCCTCGTCTTAAGGCTGTCCAGCACCGTCAGCGCGTTTCGCACGCCGTGCGCGTAGACGTCGCGTGAGCGGCCCTCACCAACGCCCGCGCTGGCCAGGCGCCCACGACGAACCCCTCTCGTCGTCCCGCAAATTGGACTCTTCGTGTCACTTTCCTCCGCCTCGTCGATTTGCACGACGTCCGCCGCGGCCGTGCGCTTTCCAACTGGTGTCGCCGCGGCCGAAGCCCCACAAAGGCTCGCGCGCACCTGTCGAAGACTCTCCTGGCGAGCCGCCAGCCGCATTCGCGTTTTGAGCGCGCGCTCCTCGGCCTCCAGGGCGCGAATGCGAGCTTCGATATCCACCTCGTCCTCCTGTAAAGGCGGCCGCGGAGGCGGGGAGGGCGAACTACCGCGAGTCGCTGTCGGAAGAGGAGGTGGAGATGACAGGGCGGGCCCACGGCGCGCGAGCTCGACGTCCTCGCGCACCATCTCGTGTGCGACCTCGAGATCCGCGAGCTGGGCCTTGGCCTGCTGAAGACGCTCCTGCATACGACGTAGGAAGCTCGCGCGGGAGCCGTTCACCGGGCCCTCCGCGCTCGTCCCCACCACCGTCGTCGTCAAACCGCTCAGTTTCGAGACGTAGCGCGCGGCGATGCGTCCGGCGCCGACCGCCCAGTCGTACCTCAACCGATCTCGCGCGACCCTCTCGGTGAGCCGCAGGACCTCCCACTTACTCACCTGCCGTTGGTGGGCCTCGTGGAGGAGGTATTCCCAGCCGGCGAGCTCCGTATCGGCGATGGAGGCCTTCTCCGCCTTCTCCTCCTCTAGTTTCCGCATCTTGGTTTGGCGCGTGCCCAGCTGCATCTCCACCTCGCGCTGTCGTTTCCGCTCGCTCTCGGCGAGCTCTTGGTTCTGCAGCCGGCCCCGCCGTAGGTCGTTCAACTGGTTATAACGGCGGCCGATTTGGTCGATCCCCAAGGCGTGGTCGTGGGCGAGGAGAAGCCGCTGAAGGTTCACGAAGACCTCGAGGGGGTCGGCGACCTGGGCGCGGTGGTGGGCGACGACGGTGGTGAGGGTGGGGCTGGCGTACATAAAGGCATCGCGCAACCCGCGCTGGTACTCCGCCTGGGAGGAGGCCGTCAGGCCTTCCACAAGGCCATGGGCGGCTTTGCTGTACTGATGGGTAAAGAGAGGGGGAAGGGGGAGCAGCACCAACGGGTCATTTTTGATCCGCATCGCGCGTTGGGTGAGACGGAGGGTTGTCAGGGTTTGCTCGAAGTTTTCCCGCGAGGGGTTGATACAACACAGGATGAAGGTGATGCCGAAACCGCCTAGGCAAGTGCGCAGGATGCGGGTGAGTTTGGCATCACGGTAGGGAATGTAAGGTCGTTTTTCCACTATCGCATCAACGACATTGCCTAGGGTTAGCAAACTCCGGTTGATGAAACCACCCTCGCGTAAGGACATTCCTCCTGTGTTCGCACGCGATGCGGATTCCGAACCGGCTAGATCAACAAGATTAATCAAACTCTTCACCGTACGATTCGAGCGGTAAATTTCAAAAGTAAGAATAATATGTGAACGACTGCTATGACTGTTGAGGTTAGTTACACCATATTTACGGTTTTTCTCAGATACCGCCTGAACACGTAGAAAGTCTTCAAAGGTGTCGATCGAAACTGTTCGCTTGTCGAATGTAACCCCTCCGTCGGGGGCGTCATGCAAAACTAACTCTCCTCGCTGTGGTTCTAGCAAATCTTTGACGGATTCATTATATATTTCAGTGTAGTACGCCTCCAGCGAGGTCCCTGGAGAGGATTTCTTGAGCTCAATCAAGAGCTTTGCTGCGCGCGGCACGATACCCGCGTCGGAGTCTAAACCAATCATACTATGGGTCTTTCCACTACCTGTTTGGCCATACGCCATTACTGTAACGTTTTTGCCGTTAAAAGCCGCATGAATAATAGCCTCAATACTCTGAAAAATGGTGTGATTGGTGCTGGTGTTAGGGTGGACCTTATTATACACATAGCGTGTATTGGGGTTGTTCGTGCTGTAAAGCACCGTCTCGGCGCTAGACCATACGCTATTTCCCACCTCAGGTCTGACACGCACGTGAACTTCTATACTCATAATTTACTTACTAATTTATGTAGTAATTTCGCACAATAACAATTGCAGACGCCTAGGAGAGGAGTAAGCTTTGAAAATTATGCAAAACAAAAGGGGAGACAATGCTAATTATATCATACAACTGTTTTGCACTACTTTTTTTTTACGTGAGGAAAAAGGTATATTATTATTCATTTCACATCCTGAAAACGGCTATGAAAAAAACGAGATTCCATGAAAATAAGGATATGAACAAAAGAAACGCCGAAAATGGAAAAGAGATACAGTAAAGTATAGAACAAATAAGGAAAATAGTTTTAATGGTAAATAATAAGCACGCTATCAAAACTTGTCTCGCATTAAAACAGCAATAACAATAATACCAGTAATAGTGAAAGAAAATATGGAGAAATTATTTCAAAATGTACTCTTGTTCTTTACTTTTTAAATTATAAGTTTAATTTATTGAGTCTATTATTACTATTATTATTACAAACCAGTATTTACACGTTTGTATATTGTTAGTTCAATTTCTGTGCTGAAATTATTCATCTAAAAAATAATTGACGAAACCATATCACGCTTCGCTTTCCTAACTTATTCTAAAAGGTTCAGTAGAAATAAACAAAGTTAACCAGTATGTTTTCACGTTATGATCGGTAGGAAAAATGAATGAAAAGTGATTAAAAAACTTTTCAGTAACACCTTACTTGATTTATACACATGCTAGCAATGCTTCTTAGCTCACTTCATCTGACCTCTTTATGATAACAATTTTTCTGTTTCTAATTGGTAATGTTTAGTTATGAGGAAAAACATTGAATTAGGGCCTCCTTTATGAATAATAGTAGTCATACCACTATTATGATACTCATATGCGGTCGATACCGAGACTGCCATACTCCCACACCGGTACGAAAGTCCCTGAGCGTAGTGAAGAATTCATCGCAGTCGGTGACTCGCTGCCTCTTCATGCGGCACACGACGAAGAGCTCCAGAACAACAATCCACAATTCCTTTTCTTTCTCCCCCCCCTCTCACACACATCGTGGGATGAGTTGAGGAAAGAATAGCCGCCCAATTGCGGATTAGGAAGTAAAATGTATAGGTTGATGTGTGTGGAAAGATAAATTAATAAGTAAAAATAAATCCAGAATGTAATATTCTAAAAAGGGTAATACCAACCCTAGAAGGTAAAATGGAATCAATAATTAAAAAATAGAAAAAAATGTAAGACAGGGAAAAAATCAAGATCAAAAGCGTTGAAGGGTAAAAAGATATACCATGTGAAGCTAGATTAATGCTTACTTTCTACTCTGAATGTACAAAAAAACTTTGTGAGGAAAAGAAGCTCACAGCTCCTTGCGTTTTTAAATGATTAAAGCACTCTGTTTTCCACCTCACCTTTACCACTGTCGTCTACGTTTGTGCCAAGACTTTCCTTTCTCCGCTTGAGTTAGGATGTCGTTTACCTCATCACAAAAATGCTTAAAATCTGTGTTGTTGTACAAAGCAGCATCCAGTGCATCTAAACGAGAACGACTTTTGTCAATTGTTAAAAGCATCTGTTGAAGCTCTTTACTTCGTAGCGCCCGTCGAATATTAGTATTGTTAGCCAACGCAGAGAGATGGCGCTCCTTTAGTATATATAACTCTCCTGACTCCTCTTCATTATCTTCCTTTCTCTCTGAAAGTTGTTTAGAACTTTCCCCACACAGAGGAGGAGGAGTTAAAGTAGGATCTTTTTGCGAGATCGCTGTCATGCCTTCTTCCATTTCACCACGTCCAATATCGGCATCTTCGCGGTCTACATGTTCACCTTTCCGTAAGGCTTCATCCGAGAAAATATCGTGCGAATTACTAGCACGGGTTAAAGAATGTTTTTGCATTTCCATTATAATACTACAATACCGCTTATTACCATCTTCCTCTGTTCTTGCCTCAGAACGATGCGCTTTGAAGCAGCTTGTGCTGCAGTAGGCTGAGCTGCACAAACGACATCGATACCGAGCCCCATCTTTCGCACACATAATACAATGCATGATGAAGACGTAGAAACGAAAAAAAAATGAAACTAAAGAGAAAAGTGCTTCCTTCTGCGTTATTGTTGCTATTTATTGTTACAGATGTTGTGGCTTAATACCATACCACATTAGTAGTGGATGTGGGTTTTTTATCTTTATTATACCCTTACTGGTTGTGTATTGCACATTTTAATTTGTAAAAAGGGGAGGGGAAAGTGGGAAGGACATTTTGAAAGTCAATAAACCTAATGTTGAGCTTAGGATTTTCATCGGTGGATATCAGCCCTTTTCTATAGTTTTTTAATTGATCTTGGACTAAATAATAAATTAAACAAAGTAATATGTTCCAGCACCACTGTTAATTGTACACACATTTCTATTAGGAAATGAAAATGATAATCAACTATTTACTAAAATTTAACTTGTATAGAAAAGAGCTATATCCTTCATCAAGTACTGAGCTATCTTGATATAATCACATCATAGATAAAGAATAGATTTCCTTCATCCCCTTTCCTCCTTAAATTCCAAGTTATTGTCACAATTTAAAAAACAACTCTGAATTCAGAAAAGTAATATGAAAATTAGACTGCACTAATCACTAAGCATTATGCAGACCTCTTTCAATCCTTAAAATATATTGCAAACCCATGTACCTAATAATTTTTATGTATAGATATATAGCTACAAGCGTATAAGTGAAAAATGTATTACAGAAAATATGAATAAAGCAGCAACAAAATCAAGCTTAAATGTTTTCAATATAATCTTCTAGTCTTTTCTCCATCATAGCATAAATAAATAAATAAATAAATAAATATTTATTTATTTATTTATTTATATGGAAGCAAATATTTATTATTCCCCACACCTCTACATATAAGGCGCACCGGAGCTGAGCGATCCCAACAAACGCTTATTTCGATATTTATACCCGTTATGCTCGTTGAGCGAAAAAGGCAACTGCATCATCTCGAGGCTTTTTTCGTTTAATCGGTATCGACTCTGGTGGTGAAGTCGGGTTAAAATCGAAATCGACCCCGACGGCGGGGCTCGCATTTTGTGAAAAGTATCTACAGTGAGGTGAAACCACCGTTTAATGAGCATCTCCAGCGTGAGCCCATGGGTGATGATCACGACGTTGGTGTCCATCGGCAGCCGCGCGCGCTCGCGCTGAAAGGCGTCGAGGAAACTCGTCACGCGATCGCAGACGTCGGCCCCGCTTTCGCCAAAAGGAAAACGATAAAAAAAACGCCCGTAGGTCTCGGCCTCGCGCAGGTGAAAATGAAATTCCTCCGCTGTTTTATACCGTCCAATATCCCCATCCCGAAGACGAACATCCTCGGACATCCCGACAATCTGGCGCCCGTAAGAAGAAGAAAACCCAGAAAGGGATGAGGAAGAAGAAAAGGAACAAGAAGAAGAGAAAGTCGAAGTGGTCGGCTCCGCACAGTCGTGGGAAAGTGCCCCTTCAGGGGCCTCCCACCACGTATAACACTGCCCCTCCCCGCGTGAACGCGTCGCCGCGTCGTAGCCTTCCAAAACAAACCGCAACGTTTGGCGTGAGCGAATATACGGGGAGAAATAAAAATAAATCGGATCTTCGCCGATAATCGACGCGAGTTTACACCCCGCCCGGGTGGACTGTCGTTTTCCCTCCTCCAAAAGCGGAATACTCCAATCCGGGGATTCAATATAGCGATTGACATCCTCGTTGGCTTCGCTTAACCCGGTTCGAATGAAGATAATCCGCTTGACGGGCTCGACAAAGGACCTTAACTCCTCCGTGACCCCCAACGGGTTGGCCAGGCTACTCATCTCAAAAGACTCCTCTTGGGTGAGGGAAAAGGAAGAATCGGCGCGTGGGGGATCATTTCTGTCCGAAGCGGAGGCGCACGGCGTGGAAGACGGCGAAAGAGAAAAACGTCCCTCATGGGGAGGTTGAAGTTGCCAGGAATGCGGGCGGGAAGGGGTGCTGCGGATTGTAATGGACATCCGCCTCAACTTCTTCGCGTCGCTCTCCTGAGTACAAGCGATGGAACTCCATGGAGACGTAAAACCGCTCGCCAAACCGGGGGCCTCCTGTGAGGGTTCGGTATCCGACGCGGTGGGGACTCCCGGAGGAGGAGGAGAAGAAGAAAGAGGAGCCTCCTCGACGCGATCGCCGCTTTTTTTGGTTGATTGGTCGTTCAAAAGGGAGGACGCTAACGAGGAGGATGGAGGATACGTCGATGAGTCGTGCACATGTCGCTGCGCCGCGAGCGATGCCCAAGAACCTAATTTGGGTAAAAATGCCAAACAGCACATCTCCCTTCTGCAAAGATATTGCCGGCTAAAAGCAGATAAAAACACCATTAACCTTTTTTATTATTGAGTTGAAAATTTATATTTCTTAAAAGAATAAAAATGAAATTTCTAGTTTTTTTTCTCCACCCTCCTCCTCCTCCCCCACATACAAACCGGAAAAAAAAAGGAAAGAATAGGTGTAACAAAATTGAATAAAATGATATAAAAAGGAACAACTGAAAAATCAAAATGAATGAAAAAAAGGCAAAGACTGAATGGTTCTTCATATTTGTGAGAAAATCTTGCGTTGGAAATAAAATAGATATATATCAAATACATAAATAATATTTGGCATTATCTTTCTGTTAAAAGTTGATAATATCAATTGTTGTTTGATTTGATTTTTAAGTTCTGCACTAGTATATTTCATAACTTCATGAATCTGTTATCATACACAAACAACTCATTTTTTTTTTATGGAATAGATTTTTCGTTTTCGGAATCTATTTCAGTATTTCCTTTTATAAAAAAATATAGTTGTGTGTGTATCCTTTTCACCGAATTTTAACCCAAAAAATCCTCATAAAGACTCTGCCCCACAAAATAACGATGTCGTCGATATCTTTAATACTAGCAGAATTCAATATCTAGACTTCATGATCTGATGTAATCAAAATGGTTATAATTATTTGACTATTTTTTTTTTGTAAAGCAAGAATAATATTTGTGAAGAAATGCAACCAAAACAGACGGTTTGCTTATATAGAGTATTTAAACTAAGAATAGTTCCCCATATTATAATTTTTCTACACACCCTTCGGCCCCACCCTTCGCTGTAGATCGATACCGCTGATAAGTTTCTTCTGATAAACCTTCGTCATCTGCTCATCAAACTTCATTAACTGCAGGCGGGAATCATTCCCAAAAAGCGCTTTGCTTGCGTCCGTCATGACCAAATTACCGATGCCGTCTTTCCGCTCGAGTACCACAATTGAGCAGTTCGGCGGGTTATTCAAAGTTTCCGTTAACTCCACCGGCATGTTAAACCACCGACTAATAAAAAGTCGGATCAGTAAACCATGCGAAACGACCGCCACGTTTCGATCCCCCGTATCATAACTGTTTACTGACGCAGGCGGCATCACTCCACAATCGGATTCTACGTCTGAGTTTTCCAAAAAAGATGAGCAACCTCCCACGTTTCTTTCCCCTTTCCCACCGAGAAACTCGCGATCCTCAGATGACGACATCCCCACTGCCCCTTTCTCCTGTTTCTGATGTCGTTCTCCTTCCTCCTCCTCGTTGGTGGCTTCGTCATGTTTCTCCTTCACTCCTCCCTCCTCAGACCGCGTCGTAGTCCGATTTGACCCTGTCAGCTCGATATTCATCCGTAAAAAGGAGTTAAAAAAGCAGGAAACGCGATCCCCCACATCCGCCCCGCTCTCACCGCAAGGAAAGCGATAGTACAATCGGCCGTAGTCATTCCGCTCCTGCCAGGTCTCCGACATCTTCTCGATCGGCTGGTAATTCCCGATCTCCTGCTCGCGAAGCCGCTCGTCCTCACACTCGCCGAGGATCTGACTTGGGCATAGGCTCTTCCGGATTTCCTCCAAAGTCTGCCGAGTGCGAATATAGGGGGAATAGTACAAAAACAGCCGTTCGTCCTGGATAATCCGGCGGAGCACCTGGCCACATTGAAAGGCCTGCTGATGGCCGACCTTGGTGAGCTCGATGCGCCAGTCAGGGGTGGTGCTGTAGAGAGTGTCGTTGACATTCGCCTTGGACTCGCCGTGGCGGATAAGAAGGAGCCGTCGGGGCAGATGGTGGGAGCCTGCCCGTCTCAGGGGATCCCCAACGCGGCCTGGGATGGGCATGAGCCCTCCTGTTACACAAATGGCAAAAAAGAACCCCAAGCTTTCAAGTTACCTATAGAGATATATACAGAGATATACAAAAATAGAGATAGAGAAGGAAATGAAAAGAAAATCAATCAGATGTCACCCTCAGGAGGAGGGGTAGGCCAAAGGAATCAATCCACACGGAGGGTTAACAATGCAGTTGATAGTAAACAGGGGGAGGAGAGGGGGAGAGAATTGCGAAAATCGGATTGGGTTTGGCTAGGGTGGTTGTGCCTGACCTTGGTGCGCTTTGTGATTAAAATCCAGATGCCGCCTTTCATGAATGGAAGTTATTGTAAGAAAAGGAAAAGAAAGAGAGATCGGGAAAATAAATCGATTTTCAATGTTCGGAGTCAGCTAATCAAAAAACACATTAGGTGAATGAATGCACGGTAAAAGATGGCATTTCAAGTTCTGAAAATAGTCCATTTATGTAAACAATATCTTTAAATAAGTTAATTAAAACTAATTTTAAATTATAAAAAATATATATATATATAGTAAAAATAAAAATTAATAATAGTAAAAACTGCTAAATGGATCACTTCTTGATCAAAAATCATATGATGCATTTTTTATTACTTTATTGGAAGCCTATTCCTAATAGCTCAAATTCAACGCATATGCGTCCAATTGAACCTAAAGAGAAATTTCTGACCTTTTGATTTTAGAAGACCGAAAATCATAAAGCTGCTTCGAAATTATCATAATATATTAGACTTTTTTCGCATTGAAGAGAAGAAACTCTTGAGACGTGAATAAAAATTTTTCTAGAAAAAATTTCAGTTACTTGTAAAATATATATATTTGAAATCATATTCGCAATTTTAGCATGCATAATATATACAGCTAATAAAAATAGTATGAAATTATTAGCTTCTTGATTAAAAACAAAAAAGATTTTATTCACCAAAAACTAAATCTGGATTGGAAACCTCTTCAATAAAATAGCGAAACTAAGTTAAAACAATTTAATGAGGTCACGATGTCGATTTGAAAGTCTTTGATGTTGCTGCACTTTACCCCTCATCGTAGAATTTATTCGAACTACACGTAAACCTTACATCGTTTAATCGATTTTTTGCCTTTTTTTTCCTATTTGATTTAAATAAGTTGATACGGGGAAGAAGATACCAGAAAACAATAAAATATCTTAGAAGGATTATTCCGCTTATTACTACAAAAAATTTTCCCTCTTGACAGGGCGAAAGAATCGAATTGATAAGCTAGAAAGTAGCACTGTGAGACTCGAAAAAACCATTGCTAATCCCGCGACTACGGGCGGAACCTGCAGATGGATAAACGGATAGACCACACCGCTCGCCAGCGGGAGCATAATCAAATTGTAACCAAAGGCCCACACAAAGTTCGCGTAGATCCTCCGTACCGTTATTACTGAAATCGCTTGCAAATTAATAATATCAGAGAGCGCGTTGCGCATGAGCACGGCATCCGCGGCCTCGATGGCGACATCCGTTCCGGCGCCCAACGCCACCCCCACATCCGCCTGTGCGAGCGCTGGACTGTCATTGATGCCATCCCCCACAAACATTACCTTTACCCGCTTCCCTTTTCCCTTTTTCCCCTCTCCGCCTCGTTTATTCTCTCCGCACTGAATCTGTTGGACAATCTTCGCTTTTGTAGCCGGAAGTGCGCCGGCGCATATGTCTTCAGGCGCTATCCCCACTTCCTCTCCAACCCGTCGCGCAACCTCCACATTATCGCCCGTGATCATCATCACTCGCAGACCTTTTTGCTGTAATGCATGAACCACTCCGCGAGCTTCGAGCTTCGGTTCGTTCGAAAGCGAAATCACCAGGCGGCAGACACCGTCAACGGCGGCCACTACCGTTGTGTAGCCTCGCTCCCCACGCCGGTGAACCTCCTCCACGACATCCTTGCCCACGGCAACGTTTAACTCATTCATCAGGGTGAGATTGCTCACCACGACGTGGTGCTGACCCTTCTCAAGCGGTTCGTCCTTGTCATCCGCTATTTCACTGCGTGTGGTCGAGATAGTCGCCTCGACACCTTTGCCGGGGTGGGTTATCGAGGACTGCACCTTCATCACAGTCGCTGGAGGGGGTGCGTTGGAAGGCCCAAGCGCCTCAACGACAGCACGCGCAATGGGGTGGGTGGAGAGTTCCTCCACGGCCGCCACGAGCCGCCGAACCATCTCATCTGTCGTCGGGATGGTCGTTAATGGGGTTGTCGCCATGTCCTCCGCATTCCCACCGACGATGTGGTGGGTCGTAAAGGTGGCGAAATCCAAAGGGTTGATCGCGTCCGGTCCAAGAAAGCTTTTGACCTGGACGACCTCCAGCTTTTCCGTGGTGATAGTCCCGGTCTTATCCAACAGAACACAGCTGGTCCCGCGCACATTTTCGAGCGCCGCACCGGACTTCACGAGAACGCCCATGCGGGCCCCGACTCCGGTCCCGACGAGGATCGCCGTCGGCGTCGCTAGCCCCAGCGCGCACGGGCAGGCCGATACCACCGTCGCGATGAAAAAATTAAACGCGAAGCCGACCCACCCCTCGTTGGCGCACCACCGCGCAGGATAGGCTCTCGCGGCCCCGAGAGTCATCCAGACCACCAGCGTCAACCCCGCTATGATGAGGACGGCGGGAACGAAAACCCCCGCGAGGCGGTCCGCCACGCGCTGGACAGGCGGTCGCGAGGCCTGCGCGGCTTCCACCACACGAAGAATCCCCCCCAACGTCGTCGCCGCGCCGACGCGCTCGGCCTGCATCTCAAACACCGCAGTGAGATTCAACGTTCCGCCGATCACGCCGCGGCCGGGCCCGACGGAGACGGGAAGGGACTCCCCGGTCAGCAGCTGCTCATCCACGTCTGAGCAGCCCTCAAGCACGACGCCGTCAACCGGGACGCGCTCCCCGGCGAGCACGCGAACCCGCATACCCGGCCGCACCGCCGAGGATGCCATTGCAATCGCCACCCCCTCCGTGTTCACCACGAGGGTCTCCCGTGGGACCAGGCTCAATAGCTCAATCAGCGCCCCACTCGTCCCTCGCTTCGCCCGGGCCTCGAGATAGCGCCCGAGGAGCATAAAGGTCGTCAAGAGCCCGGCCGCCTCGAAGTAGCTAGTGAGGGTTGCGACCCCCCCCACCCGCAGACCGTACACCACGAGGGAATACCCATAGGCCGTCCCGACCCCAATTGCCACCAGGGTGTCCATGGTGAAGGCCCCCACCCTCAGCCCGTGCCACGCCCCGCGGAAGAACTGACGGCCGAAGTAACAGACAATCGGCGTCGTGCAACAGAGCTGCAGCGTCTCGGACAGCAGTGCGTAGGTGGAGTGGTGCATCAGGAAGTCGGTCGTGGCCATTAGCACCATAATGAGCACCAATGGAAGGGCCAGCACTGCACTCCAGAGGAAGAGCCGGCGTTGATGGCGAATCTCCGTCGTCCGCTCCAGCGCCTGACGGGTCCGGACAAGCTCGCTTTCGCCTTCCTCAAGGTCCATCCGCGTCGTCAACGAGGGCTTCTCGGAGGGGTCCACCACCGCGGGGGAGGATAAGAGGCAGGCCTCGTACCCCAGCCGCCGCACTTCCTGTATTAACTGAACGCCGTGGTCCGCGGGGGAGAGCTCATTCGGTCGTGTCGTGATGGCCGCAATCCCGGTTGTGAAGACCACATGACATCCCACCACGAAGGGTAGCTCTGCAAGGGCGTGCTCAACCCGCGTCGCGCAGGAAGCGCAAGACATCCCCTCAATCAACAAACGAAACTGCGGCTTCTGCGCATTATCAAAAGATGATGAAAATCCTGTCGTCGATGAATCGCCCTTGTTGTTTTTTTGATCAGAATGAATATCATTCGGGTTATTTTTGTAAAGGGGATTAGAAGGCATGGAATTGGGCACAGTGGTAGCGCCCTTCACGGCGTCGCTGTGGAGCACTTTCGGGGAGTACCCTAAATCACGAATAACGCGTAGTAAGGCCTCAAGAGGGAGCTCCGCTGGTGCGTGCAGGATACTCGCCGAGAGCATTGTGAAGTTCACGGAGGCTTTTTCCACCCCAGGTGTTTTCAAAAGACGAGACTCAATACGCGCCGCGCACGACGCGCACGACATCCCCTCAATCAAAATCCGCGTTTCGCAAAGAAACGTATTAATTAGTATGGTTTCGGTCTCTTTGACAACTTGGGAGTTATGTGGTTTAGGGGAGGATGCATGTGAGACTGTAGGCGGCTCAAAGAAGGGCTCACACTTGGTGTTGGCGTGCTCTTTCTCTTTTTTCCCACTCTGTACTGCCTCATGATAAGAATAAGGTTCGCCATCATGAAGAGAATTTAAATTCACAAAACTTCGTTTGCCAAGTTGAGAATCAAAAAGAGTAGCGTCCCTGACAGAATAGCCAAGATTTTTCACAATCTGAAGCATAGCAAGCGCTGTTTGATGCGTTGATGTCTCTTCTTTTCCTTTCTCCATGGTTACCTCCGCACGATGATCGGAAAATTCAATCTTAGCTTCGTGGATGCCATTCCCATTCTCTTTTAACGCATTACAAATTAACATTACACACGACGTGCACGACATACCATCAATAAAGAAAGTCAGTGTAGCAAGTGCGTTGCCTTTGGATGTGATTTTATTGGTGTCATTGGTATTAATATTCGTCATTGGAACTCTGTTTTGTGGATTGGCACGAGAGCTATTGACGACTTTGGTATCGAAGTATTTGCAAGAATCGCAGTCAAGAACTAATTTGATATTAATGCTTTCGGATGAAATTCTTGTTTTGAATATCTAGTTGGACTACTTTAGTTGTTATTGTTAACTTGCTTTATTCTTTCTTCCAGAAGAATATCCTTTTTACTGAAGAAGAACGTTTCCCAATGAACAAAAAAGCCAAGTATTAAATGTTGTTCCAACTTTTCTTAATAGAAATTTTTTTTTCGAAAATAAAAGTATTAAACAATAGTAATATTAATAAAAACTATATGGCAAATGGATCTTGTTTTGCTCACATGTTTTCGATAGCTTAGTCTTTAAAATGAGGAAAAATATGAATGTAATGATATCAAAAGTGACTTAAGTAATTGCAGTCATGGGGGAAAACAAATGACTACACACCTTGTGCCAATGTGGATGTATAAAATAAATCGTACTACGGGGAAGGATTCTAAAAAGTTTCAAGACCCCAAACTGGATAACTTTCTAAAATTCAAAGGGAATGAAAACGTTGTGACAACCCCAGACTAACTGTCTTTTTGTTGCTTCCAATGTCTTAGCTATCGTATATTGGATTGAGTTTGTCTTGTATTCGATTGTTTTGTCTGATTAAGTGGACCTTTAACAATAATTTGGCGTTGGTGCAGCCTAAATGGTGGCTCATTTGAGTAACACTCCTCAAAATCAACCTCTACCAAGCGGCCACATGCACGCTCAATAACAAAAGTAGGCACTTCAGTGATCCGCCCATTGGCATCAGGACTTGGGTGGTGCATAATGCCCTTTGATTCCCCGCTATCACCGGCCGCGTCGCCAGCCCTGTGGCGCGCGTTTCTCGTAATCCACCCGCGTCTCGATTCCAAAGGTCCCCCTTCGGCAGGACAATCTGCGGCATCACACGCCCAACTCGTCGTTGGGGCCTTTGATGTGGACTTCGTGGAGATGTAAATCTCACGAATACCGCATCCTCTTATCTGGCTGTAGTACCGCGGGTGGTGGCGCACGACGTAGAAGATGGTCGCTCGATCGACCTCAAACAAGTGCGTACGCAAGGTAAAAGGTTCCGCATGATCGAAGTCTAGGGCCCTGTCACCTCGCCCCCCCTCTGCTCCCAACGTTATCGCGGGTTTGTTGGCTTCTTTCAAAGTTTCGTGGTGGGGATCTGCCTCTTGCCGTTCACGCTTTCTCTTCCGACTCGTGGTCTCTTGTTTGAGGGCCGTATAATAATGATTTAGCATTCCGTGCACGTGCTCACGGATTGTCTGGAGCTTACTCCACCCGGCCCCTTTGGAAGAAGAATCGGTCGCGCGAAGTAAAGGAGACATCGGGCGATAATCTTTTGATGTGAATCCAATTTGCATGGGCGTCCGTAGGGTTTCCAAATGCGCCCCCGAATAGCAATCCCGCAGCTGGAGCTCCACCACAAGCCCGCAAACGCGCTGGACGAGCAGCTGGGCGTCGGGGTCGCGAACGGCGAGCTTCCGCACCCCGCAGCCGATGATATGGTAATAATAAGGGTGGCAACTCAGAACACGCAAAAGAGCGCTTTCCTCTGCGCGCAGGAGGGAATAAGCGCGGACGGAGGGTGGCCCCTTTTGGCCCGCGCGGTTGACCGCCAGTGCTTCACAAGGCCCATCCTCACCCTCTCGAAAGGGATCACGAAGAAGAGAAGGGCCGAGCGGGATCCAACTGGCCGTTTTATGCCGCCCGCAGGCACTGCGGAGAAGGGTCGCGGCCTCCTCGTAGCCGCCCTCCCAAACCCTCTGAAGCAGCAGCGCGGGGCGGCCCCCAAGGTGAAGAGGGGAGGGATCGCCATTTTTTTGACACTCGGGCGGACGCCGACGTTCGGCCCCCGCGGCGACGATCTGGGCCGGCGTCCCGATCTTCACTTCGCTGCCGTTATCTCGGATGTAAGCCAAAACAAGGCCGTCGGTGGTGGCCCGAAGACGAAGCTCTTGTAGCCCTCCCCGTTTGCAGGCGAGATAGGCGTCCAGCAGATCCGACCGCATCGCGCGAAGGGCCAGATGCGCCTCCTGCCGCGGCAATGTCAGCACCGTCAGGTCTCCACCCTTCAGAACGATGCCAAGACGATTCACGAGGTCGGCCAACTCCTCTGCGGTCGCGAAGAGCTCTGGTGAAGCCTCTCGGGCAGTCGAATTCAGCCCGAGCGCGGGGTCTTGAAAAGTTATGGGGCTGCCAGAGGGCGCCGACGGGCCTCCGGTGCGAATCCACGCCCCGCAGCGCAGGAGTGCACCCTCGAAGCCGTACCATCCCGCCGCGTGATTGCATCTCAGCTTCCTGTCCATCGGCCCGTACACGACAAACGACGTACTCGACGAGGAGGTCGGCAAGGCCGGGCAGCCCGCTGTGGGGGATCCGTGAATTAACGCTTCGCACTGTTTCCCGGCCTCCGTCATCAGAACCGAACGAAGCTCCCGCAGCCACGTCAGGTCCCGCACGCACCCTGTCAAGACCCGCTGCCACGTCGGGACAAAAAAGCTCAGAATCGGATCTTGGGGTAACGGGGGGAGATGGAAGGCATGCGCCTTCTGCGGCTTATCGCGGGGTTCATAGGGCTCGAACAGCGCCCCTCTCTCTCCCCCCCCACCACCGCCGGGGTTGTTTTTTCGGCCCCAAGTCCCCCCCCGACGGCTGTCGGAGGCTTTTTCGTCCTCAATGGGTAGTCGCCAGGCCGCGATGCGCAGGAGGTCCCGCGTCGCCAGCGCCACCGCGCGGTCCCCGAAAGGGTTCCCCAGACTCACCGACTGCGTCCGCCGGGCGTACCACTCCTCGGCCGCCAGCCTCAGCAGCTCCAGGGTCCCATTCGAGGCCGGAACGCGGCCTGACGACGTCGGGCCGGGCGCCAGGCCGAAGCCGCCCACCACCGCCCGAAGCCGTCGCGACAAATCCACGAGAGTACGAGGGGGCTTCTCCGGCGCCTCGGCCCCGTTGGCGGCCTCGCCCTCGGGGAAAGGCGCGTCGTCTGGGTTGATTGTCAGGACGGCCTCCAGATAGACTAGACTGAGGGAAAAGAACAGCAGCGCCTCCTGGACGGGAAGGCAGCGTGATACGGCGACCTGGGTGACCTGATAAATGGCGGTTAAGGCCATCGAGGTGGGGGTTGCCTCGTCCACAGAGGGAGGATGGAGGGCATAGAGCGGGCTAAAAAGTAAGGTCGGGCACATCAGGCGCTCATAAGGGGACAACAGCCGCACGGCCCTCGCGCAGGCCGTGAATCGCAGCGCGTCCGCCTCCACAAAGGAGGGGCTCAAAGAGGGCGCGGGAATTGATGGCGTGGGCGCGGATGGGCCCGAAGTGGGGGGTTGTGAGGTCGAAACAAAGGGGGAATGGGGGTCGGTATCCGCCTCCTCCGTGGCGTCCTTGTGGAGGCCGGTGACTTCGGGAAAGTTGGTTGATCGCACCGGAACACGAGTTGACGGGATCATGCAATTGGATCCATGGCGCTGCTTGTACTCTTGCCAATACATGTTCACGTGCTCGTAGAGCTTGGGCAACTTCTGTGAATCTACACAGAGGACGGTGTACTGATTAGAAGCATTCAGAATATCCTCCGAGTCAACCGGTAGCAACCGTTCACTACGGTGAAGAACGGAAAAGATAGAACTCATAAGATTCCCTATTCGTCCTTCTTTTTCTTTTGTACAACAGGAAAGATAGGAAACGCCTACCTCGGCAAAGGGATTTTAAAAAAGAGCATATTGATGGACCAAAACGAGGAGAACGTGAAATCGTTCATCAGTCACCAAGTACTCTACATTTAATTTTTATTATATTTATTACTCTCTTATAATTAATAAAAGGGGGGTAATTGGTCGGAAATTAAATTATAGGACTACCATGTGTATGCATGTGTACAAATACCAACGACTTAGTCCATATCACCACAATTAGGGGGCAAATAGGCATCAACAATGTCATCCATATAAAGAAGCACATGTTTCTCCAGGAACTCACAGACGTCTGGCGCGAAGCAGCCCTTGACATGTGGTTCTGAAGCTGATGATCCCTCGTTCTCGACCACGGCTCCGGCATCCCTTGAGGCGCGAGATGCGAGCACCGCCGCGCCTAACGCCTTCTTCGCGTTCATCCCCTCCAGCTGCTCCACCCCTTCCACAGACTCCAGCATGCTCGCGATGAGCTCTGCATAACACATTTGCACGGCCGAATCGCATTCCTTTCCAGAGGCTAGGTGCCCCACCGCCGCACGCAGGCTCCCACTCTGCAGAAGCATGGCGTATTGTGGCTTTTGCGAACACGCGCAATTGCGATAGCATTCCGAGGCGAGGCGACGGTGGGTGAGGGGGTGGGATGCTTCCAGACATTCGCAAAGCGCCCCCCGCCATTCCTCATCCTCCAGCAAAAGCTGCTGCCCGTCTAAACTACGCGTGAGGTTCAGCAGGATGCTCAGAATCCACCGAGCAAAATCACGCCGTGGGGGCGCCGCCTCGTCAGCCTTGGCGTTTTCCTCCAGGGCCGCATCCTTGGCCCCTTCCAAGGCGCCTGAAGACGTCGACATGTAATAGACATGTAGCCTTCCCAAATAGAAGCCCCGCATCGCCTCATCGCCCTTTTGCAGAAGGTCATCTACGGCGGAGATGTGGCTGGCGGTAAGATTGTTCAGCAGCATCAGAATCATCTCTTGCACGCTGCGCTTGAAGGGCTTTGGATGGGAGGAGTTTTCCATCCCATCTAGAAAGAGCATCGACTTCCGCACAATTTTTCGTGCTACCAACATCTCCGCACAGGCACCGTCCGCTGCGGAGTTAATGAGAATGGTGAGAATATTCCCCACCAGCCTTACACTACCGGGGTGAAAATGTTTGAGTAGAGTATCGATGGCATGAGGACCGTACTCTGGTGATGACATAAAAGCCCAAAGAGTTTTGTCATCTTTACTCAGACTAGCGATTCCTTGTACAGCCATCTTCTGCACGTCCTCTCGCTCATGGTCAAGAAAACTGAAGGTCTCTTTCAGATGCACGAATGCCTCGGGCAAATCGTGATTGGCATTGCCAGTACCGACAATCGTCATATTTTACTAAAAAAAAAAAGAAAGGGAAAAAATACCTTTTAACACGAAACAACCCTCTTTGTGGCCTTAAAATGGAAGTGAAACAGATAGAATAAGTAGCCTCAGGCGGGAAAGAATATGCATCGGGAAAGCACTAATATAATTAAAATAAAATAATCATAAATAGCAACGATGAATTAAAAATTATGAGTAAATATATGATTATATATTACTCCACCGTGAAAACCCACGGCGAATCTAGTGTAAACAGATAAATAAATCAGCATGAAAACCAAAGGGATGCCCCTCTTTTACAAAATCAGTGCCACATCTTAAATAGCTTTAAGTATCATAGTATACATAGATATACAGGAGTAATACTGTCTAATTTTTTTCCATTATCCGCAATCATAAAATTTACAAGTGCTTTCTTCCCCTGCGGAAGCTTCTCTATAAATGTAATTTCACGACTCCGTCTCAGACTCCTCAGCCTCTTCGTGTGAGGCGTACACCAACAAACCTTTAACATTCATGAGCAATTTCTCCACCAAGCCCGCCGTCTGCTCTGCGTAATCGCTTGCCAAGGCCTCTGCCGCATCTATAGAAGTGGTGGAAGAGCTGGCATCTCGCAAATTGGATATGGATAGTGATGAAAAGCTGTTAATCGCATGAACCTCACCCCCGGAGCCCTGCAGCTGACTTAGACGCCTGCTTTCCTTCACAGAAGCCTTGTTGATACTATCCCGGTTGGTATAGCGATCGGTATGCTGTAATAGCATTTTGAGAAGTTGAGGGTCATCAACGACGCGGCAGTGCGTGGCCGCAGTGAGGTTGAGAAGTATCCCGAAGCAGTTGTACACAATTCGTAGGTCCTCATGTCCGGCAAAAATCACTACCACCTCATCGCAGCGGTTAGCTTCCATCCAATCACGACCTGCGCTGGTGTACGATACGTTGCCCAACACTCGGGTGGCCTCGAGGGTGGCTTCGGCATCACTATCGAAGAGGAACCCCGCCAAAACGGGGCCTAAAGTGTTGAAAAGCTCGAGAAGCGCGTCACTGCTTTGATTCTCATCTTCCATTCGGTGGAAATGGCAGGATAGGTTGCTGATGCACATAAGCGTATAAATGGCGTTGAGTCGTGTTCCCGGTGTGAACTCTAGATCCTTCAGATATCGCACAAGCATGGTGGCAACCCGCATGATGAACCCTATATCGCAGTCTGGGCTCGTGGCCGCCAACCCAACCATCCATACTACGCCCTGCACAACCGTCATCTCACCCTGCTCCTCCCCCGTGCCGCCGCTCAGTGGTGGCAAATCCTCCATAAATCGGCTTACAAGCTTCGTCAGCAAACTTGCATAGTTCTGCACAAAGTACTCTCGATTCGAGGCCGATCCCTGAACAACTAACCCAATGACGCTGCATAGACGAGATACTAAAAGAAGCAGGTAAGACGCTTCATTTTCCTCACCCCGCTCATGATCCTCCGCGAGGCCCGTCTGCCCTGATGGGTGAAGACGAATTTGGTGCGCCAGCGCGGTGGCAGCCGCCGAGATCACGTGATTATTTTTCCGAAGTCCCTGTAAGCAGTCCGCGTTGAAAACAAACTTCACCAAAACCCGGGAAGCAGCCACCACGACGCCGGAATGAGTGGCTGTAGTCTCCAAAACCTTCAAAAGCAACTCCACCGTCCCAACCTCACGAAGATGATAGATATAGTCTGTAGTTAGATTACGGTAAACACCGCACACAGTGCGTATGATAGCAAGCCGCACTACCTCAACCTCGGCCTTCGACTCCACATTGACCTTAAGATCAATCAAGCGCTGTATAAGTGTATTCAAGACGGGGGTGATGCCCAACACTACGAGCCTGGAGGAGATGCTCGTTACGGCGCCCTGTTGGACACCCTCTGGCAGGATCCTCGCTTCACTTTCCTTGCTATCAGCAGCGATAACGCTTTGAAATGCTTCGACGATGCTAAGAAGAGTCTTCGGCTGTTTCCGCAGGAGGAGTTCGTCCTTGAGGAGCTGAAAAAGGGACTCCAAGAGGGCTTCGCGCTCGATCCAGTCAAGCATCTCACCCTCCGCCATACATTTAAGCAGAAGAGCGATGCTTGGAAGGGCCGGGCAGGTCTGCGGAGCGGGGCCTCGAAGAAGAATCGAGATCATGTCGACTGCCACGCGGAGATCATCCTCGTGGGGATGCTCCTGTTTCCCGTAAAGCTCCACGCGTTGCTCGAGGAACCGCGCCCACTCCGCGCGCATCACGTGTCGTGGGTCTTCGAGCCACCGCCCGAGCTCTCGCAGGAGTCTGACCTGCTCTCCCCCACCCCGCGGGTCCCCGGCGGCCCGCCGGAGGTTTAC